CTTAAACCACCTCAAATCCAGCACGTGTGGAATCAACCAATCAACTTTAAAAAAAAAGGGGAAAATGCCATGTTAAATTTTTTTTTTTTTTTTTTTTTTAAGGGATCACAAAGGAATTTTACTCCATGGTCAGATTGGTATGGACCTTCCCCTGCAGCAGGGGATGTTGTTCCCTACCTGGGACCTCTTGAGCACATACAGACAACATTTTATAGAAGCACGACTTTGGCTGCTGTGGCAGGTTAGCATGTTACTGCTAGGGCTATATTGTTTCAGGGTTGACAGCAGTCCAATGCAAATTTAACTTAGGGGTCAGCAACATTTTTGGGCAGAGTGCCAAAAACATCTGCCGTAGCGACTGGTAAAATGCTGGCATGCCAAAGGTAGAAGGCAAGGAAGCTACGAGGGGCCCAATCCTTGTTGTGGCAGCACAGTCCTGGCCCCTTCCAAGTGCCAAGCAAGATGCCTCTGTGCCCCATGCTCTGGCATGGATGTCAAAGGGTTGCCTACCCCTGGTTTACATTATGATTCTTTGGGATAGTTTAGACAGAGATGATCCTGCTTCAGGCAGGGAATTGGACTAGGTGACCTCTGGAGGTCTCTTCCAACCCTACTTCTCTATGAGAGTCTGCTTTATTGCAAATGTACTGACATCTTTAGTCCCTTAAGACCAAAACCAAAAGACCCCTCAAAACCCCTCTCCCCCAAAAAGCTAAGATTATTTCTGTTTATCTGTTGATGTTTATAAAGACCTTTTCAGCAAGGGAGAAGCTGGCTGACCTTATAGTGGTACTGTAACACTAATTATAAACAAAAAATTGTCAAACACAGTCAGTTAATGTTTACGCAACTATAGGAAGTGAAAATCTTCAGACAAGTATGATTTTTAGGGCATAAAGTGCATCTTTAAAAACCCTACTGTATGGTTTAACTGATCAAAACTGCTGTATGTATTAATGAAATCATACCAAATCATTGGTAGAAATAAGAACTCTGACTTCAAATAAATTGGCTCATAACTCCTGGAACTTCAGGGAAACTGGAATCTATCTAGATTTTGCATCTGAGGCTCATTTGTTACTGTTTCCATCTGATAGTTTCCATGACTTAAGTAAAAGTACCGTAATCCAGCATTTCATAAAGGAATGTCCACAATACAGTACCATAACTAGGAAAAGAGACCCTAACCAGTGCCCTTTGTCTGACAGTCTCAGTAGAAATCATGCTACAAAGTTAGATCAAAATAAATTTCAAGCAGGTGGGGGACAGCCCTCCAGATCAGAGATGAGTCACTCTTACTTGTACTACATCTATTTTGTGGATTAAGAGACACTACTTTTCTGAACTCAGAAAGACCCGCTTTCCTCCTCTTTGGTTCCCTTTAAGCTTGTCAACCCAAAGATGAAGAGATATGTCAGCTGAGGAGATCGTGCACAAGAGTCCACCAGAACAGTGGCAGACCTATTTCTGTTATCAAAAGGTAAGTGTCTGTCTCAAAACACATCATTCTCTTGGAAAACTTAAATGCACATATTGAATAAGCCTTTCAAAATCCCTTCCCCTCACCAAAAAAAAAAGGAAAAGCTTTTTTTTTTCTTAAAAGAACCTTGATCCTGTAAAACACCCTTTAAATATTGCCAGTGATTCATTTCAAAACACATATATTCTAATACTTGAATACTAAATAAGAAATATCCCAGCTTGCCACTTACAAGATACTTGCTAGGAAAAGGCTGCGTCACAAAAAAGAAGCCTGGTTATCCATATCATGCACTTGTGCCCCCTGCATTTTCAATTTGCCTGGATAACAACTTAGTCAATTCTTCTCATGACAGCAAAGAAAATCTACCCCACTTGAAAGTTAAGGAATCCCTTGGAGGAAGCCGCCAAAGAGATACACATTTGAAGATCTCCCACCTTCATTCTAGATATACAACATAAGAAAAGGGATGCGTTTCATATGTGTTTACAAAAAACTTAGTCATGACTGAGATGGACAGATGGGAGTAGAAGGCCCTACATAAGAGGAAAAACAGTATTACTATTGTATCTAATGCTACCATGCCAGTATTATGGTGCAGACCAACGATTCTCAACAAGGGTGCTATGGTAGGACTGAAGAGATGCAATATGGAAATAAATAACAAAGAAGAAACAGTGTTGATTTTCTTATTTTTATACACAACTGAAAATACACCTCCATTTATGAATCTACCTGAGGCTAACAGAGGGTGTCCCACCTGTGGGATTGGGAAGCCAGGGTAATGAGTACAGGCATATTTGCCCTGCCAGCTGCCTGACCACTGTCAAATGACACTCAAATCTGTCAAACTACTGTCTACTTTGCTGGGTATTTGTGCTCTAACTACAAGTTCCTCTTTGCACCTCAGGACTGCCACTTGAATTTCATCCCAGATCACTCTGACCAATGCAGAGATAGTAAATGGTTCTCTGCAGGCTGATTCTGCTTTAACATGGTGATTTAAGGACTAGCGAACAAAATATTCCATACACTTGGATTCACATGAAGAGCTGAGGCCTGAATTCTCACGCTTCCTCAATTTTCTTGAAGTATTCCTCTGCTATTACAGTCTAACCATATTCCCATTAATTTTGTGGAGTTTTGACAACTTTCAGTGCTCGTCCAAAGTCACTAAAAGATATGAAACCACATCTAGGAAATTTATATACCTTCTGCTCCTATGATGTACACCCTTGGGTGACTACCAGGTAAAGGCCTAAGGAGTGAGATTTTCAAAAGCAACCGAGTTGGGTAATTAACTTGCACTGAAACTATAAAGTCAGGTACTAATTTCCTTACAGTCTATAAATCTTGCCCAGCCACCTAAGACAAGCCATCAGGTCTTATCTTAAGTCCAGGGGTGGGGGAGGACATGGATAAACACACACATGCACCTTGGATTATGAAATGTCTTGTTGATGATTATATAAATGCAATTCTTATCTTATTTACATTTTGTACAGCTTTCAAACTGTACTAGAATATCTGTACGAGCTACTATATCAAGGTAATCATGTTTCGGTCATAAACTACTGCAAGACCGTCTCAGGCTGGACATAAGAAAGAATTTCTTTACTGTCCCAGCCCCCAAGGTCTGGACCAGCCTGCCATCGGAGGTGGTTCAGGCACCTACATTGAACACCTTCAAGAGAAAATTGGATGTTTATCTTGCTAGGATCCTATGACCCCAGCTGACTTCCTGCCCTTTGGGCGGGGGGGATGATCTTCCGAGGTCCCTTCCAGCCCTAATATCTATGAAATCTATGAAAACAGCTTGGCAAGAAAAGCATGATGATGTGGCTTAATTATAATAATGTTCAGATTCCAAACTCTATTTTGTCAAGGAAAATAGCCTTTGTTTGGACAAAGAGCTGGAGGGGTAAAAGAAAGCTAGAGAAGCTGCTAATCTTTGTGTTTATGCTATGCCTATCACAAAAGAATCACCAAACTGATAAGCTGAGGGACAGCATTGCACCAACAAATGATAGCACAAGACCTCTTCTAGAGATGACTGATTTGTCATGCAGAAAGTAACTTGCAGTGGAGGAGGGAAAGGAATGTACCACCACACTATTGCAACATCTGAGGTTTTGGAGGCCAGACCAAGAAATACTGGTGTTTAGTCCAATCATTATACTATTCCCACCGTTCCCCTTGGTGAAATACCTTTTTCCCTACATATTGTATCCGATACAGTTTTCCCCTCACTTCTATATACAGCACTTTCATTCCTCCTCTTCAGAAACTAGATCCATGCCTTTTTTTTTTTCTTCCCCCAGAGTGAAATATAAATCAGCCTTCCAGGAACTCCCTTATCTAGTAGAGAAAAACAACTATTTCCTAGTACAAGCTGTTCTCACTGCTCACTTTCTCCTCTCCAGAGAGAAGTCAGAAAGTAATGTTGATGCATTTTTTCCATTTCATAGTACATAAAAAAATGCAATTAAAAAAATAAGGTGGACATCATTATCCAAACAGTATTCTTAAAGGCCGTCTTGCAAAAACACGCTTCTGTGCATGCTTGCTTTCAGCCCATGACTTCCGGTAGTGGCAATGCAAGCACACACTAGTCGTCCAGGCTACAGTGTGGTTGTAGCTGTGATGGTCCAGGAAATACGAAGAGACAAGGAGGTTCCTGCAATATCTTTTATTGGACCCGCCCTACAGTTGGCAGGTGGGCTACACAGGCCTTTGGGCACAAGAGCCTTTCCTGAGCTCCAGGCACTGATGCTTAAGCAGCGTGTGTGGCTCGAAGTCGAACAGCACGACGCCTCCAACTTGTTTTTCACGTAGCTGAGAAAACTACGCCACCAGGTCGCTTGGTTTCATTTTCACACTGGCCAACGACAGCAACGCGGGCTGCAAAGCAGCGCCTCGGGGGAGCCGGAGCCCGGCGTTTTCTTCTCCAAGGACAGCCGTCCTGGAAACCCCGCGGGGGCGACCCCGGCCCGGGTCCCACCACTCCGCAGCACCCGGCGGAGGCGGGGTGAGCCTCGTCTTGGATGCCGGTGCCCGGTATTCCGCCTTGGTCTGCGCCAGGGGCTGGATCCGCTCTCGCCCTGGGCCCGGGCCCGGGACAGGCAGGCAACCCCCGCCCGCAGGGCTCGGCCTTTCA